AAAAAAAAAAAAAAGAAGTGGGCTATACGTTGTAAAAGAAATTGTGGTAAGAACATCTAACAGCTGGGGGCGCCTGGGTTGGTGTAGTTGGTTGAGCGACCGACTCTTGATTTCAGCTCAGATCGTGATCTCAGGGTCTCTTGAGAGGGAGCCCCAAGTGGGGCTCCACACTCAGGGCGGAATCTGCTTGGGATGTCTCTCCCTCTGCCCCTCGTCCACCCCCAGCCCCCATGTGCACTCTCTCTCTCTTTCTCTAAAATAAATAAATAAATCTTTTTTTAAAAAAGAACATCTACGGGCGCCTGCGTGGCTCAGTCGTTAGGCGTCTGCCTTCGGCTCCGGTCATGATCCCAGGAGCCTGGGATCGAGCCCCGCATCGGGCTCCCTGCTCCGCGGGAAGCCTGCTTCTCCCTCTCTCACTCCCCCTGCTTGTGTTCCCTCTCTCCCTATGTCTCTGTCTGTCAAATAAATAAATAAAATTTAAAAAAAAAGAACATCTACTAGCTTACTTGTGAGGGAGTATGTATGGTGGTTAGCACCTCAGCACTGGAATCTGAGTGCCTGGGTTTGAAAACCTTCTCTTGCCAGTTCAGTGATCTCCGCCATGTACTCAACTTCTATATCAGTTTCCTCATCTATAAAATGGAGTAATAACAGAACCTCCCTCATAGGGTTGTACTGCACTTAGCAGCAGTGTGCCTAATATCCTAAAACAGCACCCAATCTCCATAGGGTGGGGTTAAGCAATTGGTACTAAGATTATATAGAATAATGTTATTTACTGGCCATCTTCTGTGAGCAACTGTGTGCTTGAGATTTCACCACTTGGGCATGCAGCCTCCAAGCCCATTTCCCAGCCAATGATGGGAAATTAAGGCTGCTCTGTGGGAAGAGGCCAATCACGTTTCAGTAAAAAAAGGAGAAGTCACTGTTAATGCAGAGAACGGTTACTAACAGGCACAAGGCAAGTGGGAAATGGTATGAAATGGCGAGGCAGTGACAGAAGTTGACAGTAGTGCGTCAATCAGGAACAAATGAATAACAGAAACAATAGGGTCCTCCAGGCACCACGGGGACCTCAGTGTTATCAGCAATCAGAAGTGGTGATGGGTGACTGGTAGGTTCAGAGCCCAACTCACGTTGCTGAAGCTATGGGCGGCTTTAGAGAACTCTCCGCACAGATACAGCCGCTCGCCCTCCGCCATGTAAGAGGGAAAGGTTCTTCGCAAGCTGTCAGCTTCTGGGTCCGACATGGTAGCCGGATTCGGTGACGCTGAAGCAGAAAAAGGGAGGAAAAGAAAGCCGGAGAACCTCGGTCTGGCTTGTGGAAGCCCCGTCTCTTAGCAACCAGGAAGCGTAGAGTTGCTTCCGGCCCCTCCCCTCGCTCCCTCGGGGCGGGAGTGCGCGGTACATCCGCCGCCAGCGTGCGCATGCGCCGGCCCAGCAGCGCGTGGGCGAGGGCGTGACGGGCGTGTGGTGGGTGCCTGCTGAGAGGCTGCGCCGGGCCGTGTTTGCTGTTGCGAGTTCCGTCGGTTCTCTCCCGAGAGCTGTGCCCGGTGTCCAGAATTTACAGCCAGTAACGTTGGAAGAGGATTGGGGGCAGAATTCCAAATAGGGATAATGCATACGTGGCAAGGATATGCGCACCATGTACTGCCACATTCAGGACGTGAGGATTTGCAAGGGATTTCGTGGAAGACAACGTTGGGTTCGACCTTAATTTAACACATTTATTGAGAACCTGCTTGTGGTAGGCTCTGATCGAGGCCTCTCCTGACGGCTTTCCCCATTCCCTCACTCCCTCTGCCAAAAAGGTAAACTAGATTCTGCTAGGTTCCAGCGAACACCCTGCCTTTGCGACATTACTTTTAAAAACGTCAACTTCCAATGCCAGTGACATCGTGACTTCCATTAAGGCAGGGACCCTGTCGTAACCTTGTGTTTCCAGAATGCAACTGTCTGGCACGTAGTAGGAGCTAAATAAATCATTGTTAAAGTTTAAATAGTTAAAAGATGGCCCTAACCACACAGATGTACACACCGATGAGTACATGTAAAGCTGGAGAAATCTGAATAGGATCAGTGGATCGTACCAGCGTCTATTTTCTGTCGTGTTGTTGTACTCAAGTTTTTCAAGATGTTACCATTGGGGGAAACTGGGCAAAGGGTACATAGGATCTTTTTATTATTTCTTAACAACTGACTATGAATCTACAATTATCTCAAAATTGTAATTAAGAAAAGAATGACTTTAGTGCCAAGATAAAAAAAAATAATATGGTTCCTTGCTTGGAAGAGTTTGGTCTAGTCAGGGAGTGAAATGCATAAACGATAATGACTTCCCAAAGCGACGTTGAGATATTCGAAGTTCTGTGTGCCTGTGAAGGAGGTGAGGATAGATGAATGAAAAATTCAGTCAGGGCCTGGGCTGGATTAGAGACAGCTTCACAAAAGGGGTCACATTTGAGCGGAGGGTGAGTAGGAATGGTGCCCAAGAGACCTAAGTAGGGAAGGAGGTAAGCAAAGGCCCGAGGTGTGTAAGTTCACAAAGTGTGTAAGGAGCGGCAACCTCATGTGCTGGCTTCCATAACTTATGTTATTTTTTTTAAAAGATTTTATTTATTCATTTGACAGAGAGAGACACAGTGAGAGAGGGAGCACAAGCAGGGGGAGTGGGAGAGGGAGAAGCAGGCTCCCCGCTGAGCAGGGAGCCCAATGTGGGGCTCGATCCCAGGACCCTGGGATCATGACCTGAGCCGAAGGCAGACGCTTAACGACTGAGCCACCCAGGCACCCCCATAACTTACATGTTATTAAGATGGGCACATAGGTGAGTTGAACACATTGCTGAAGTGACCAGCAGTTAATTGGGAAATCCTCCTGCAAAGAGGAAATCTATAGGTTTAATTCAATTCCAGTCAAGATCCCAGCAGAATTTTTTTTTGATAATTGACAAGCTGATTCTAAGATCTACGTGGAAATGCAAAGTACCTAGAAGAGCCAAAACAATTTTGAAGAAGAAATACAAAAGAGAAGTTATGCTGTGCTGTCAAGACTTATTTTAAAGCTATAGTAATGGTATTAGCATGAAGATCGATATGCAGATCAATGCAACAGAATAGAGAGTTCATAAATAGATCCACACGTATATGATCAATTAATGTTCAACGAAGTTGCCAAAGAAATTCGGGGCGGAAAAGATAATCTTTTCAACAAATGGTACTGGCACAATTGGATAGCCATATGCCAAAATAAAACAGAAAAAAACCTTACCTCACACTATGTACAAAAATCAACTCATAGATTTAAATGTAAAACATCAAAATTAGAAAATTAGGGAAAAAATAGTTGAAAATAACAAGGTACAAAAAGCATGAAAAAGAAAAAATAAATTTGACGTCAAGATTAAAAGGTTTTGGGGGCACCTGGGTGGCTCAGTTAAGTGTCTGACTTCTGCCCAGGATGACCCAGGGTCCTGGGATCCAGCCCGGCATCAGGCTCCCTGCTTGGCGGGGAGCCTGCTTCTCCCTCTTCCTCTGCCTCTCCCCGCGACCATGTTCTCTCTCACTCTGCTCTCTCTCTCTCAAATAAGTGAATTTTAAAAAACCAAAAATAATATTTGTTTAAAAAAAATAAAAAATTAAAAAAATAAAATTCTAAAAAATACATACTTAATCTATGGTGCCCCAAAGCAAAACAGTTGCTCCCAGGAAAATGGAAGTAGGGCAGGGAGGGATAGAATACAAAGAAGTACAAGAGGATTTTAGGGGTCAGGGGTGAAGGATATATGCATTATCTTGATTGTGGTTATGTTTTCACCATGTATACCTATGTTAAAACTCATCAAATTGTACAACAATTAAGTATCAGTAAAGCTGTTTTAAAAAAAACAGTTAAGGGGCACCTGCGTAGCTCAGTAGGTTAAGCGTCCGGAGGTCTCGACCGGACGTCGAGATCTCCGGTCATGAGATCAAGCCTTATGTAGGCTCTGCCCTCAGCAGGGAATCTGCTTGAGAAGAAATCTGCTTGAGATTCTCTGTCTCCCTCTGCCTCTCCACCTTCTTGCGTTCTCTCGCGCTCTCTCAAAAATAAATAAAATCTTTATTTAAAAAAGCACAGTTTGGGGCACCTGGGTGGCTCAATCAGTTAAGCATCTGCCTTCGGCTTGGGTCATGATCCCAGGATCCTGGGATCCAGCCCCATGTCAGGCTCCCTGCTCAGCGGGGAGTCTGCTTCTCCCTCCCCTTTGCTGTTCCCCCTGCTTGTGCTCTCCTGCTCTCTCTCTGTCAAATAAATAAAAGTAAGTAAGTAAGTAAATAAATAAATAAATAAATAAGCTCAGTTAGATAGCAATAATATTGTGTGCTTTTTGACAGATTACAAAGCACTTTGTGATCTTGACAGCATCCTAATGATGGATGGAGCCAGGCACTATTTGCCTGGTTTCATAAATGAAACAATGAGGCTGAGAGAAGTGACAGGGCTTGCCTGAAGCCACATCACCGGGAAATAGGTGGGCCGGGCTGGGGCCCATGCCTAGGTTGAATCGGTTAGGGTAAAAAGCACTGGAATTTGTTCCCAACCTGTCCCAGCCACTTACTAGCTGAACTGCTTATGTTACCTCTTTCCATCTCTTTTCTTTATATTTCCTTCTATTGTGAAGTATGCAAAAACATATATGAAATATATATATACAGTTTATTAAATAATTACACAACGAACACCCATGCAATCATCTCACAGGTAAGTCAAAAAACATTGCCAACTGGGTGCTCCCTGTGAGACTCCTCCCCAGTCACAATCTCATCCCTGCACTACCCCCCTCCCCACGTAACCACCACCTTCCTGGTTACTACCCTGGTCTGAACGAACCCTCATTGGCTCCCTCCAGGATTACTGTAATATCCTTCTAATTCTCTTTGATCTATCCTTGCCTCCTTCCTTCTCAGCACAGCAGTTAGAGCATTCCTTTTAAGGGGCACCTGCCTGGCTCAGGGGGTAGAGTATGTGACTCTTAATCTCGGGGTCATGAGTCTAAGCCCCGTGTTGGGTGTAGAGCTTACTTAAAAAAAGGGGTGTCAAAAAAATAAAGTTGCCCTATTAAAAAAAAAAGAATATTCCTTTTATTATTTTTTATTTTTTTTAAAGACTTTATTTATTTGACAGAGACACAGTGAGAGAGGGAACACAAGCAGGGGGAGTGGGAGAGGGAGAAGCAGATTTCCCGCAGAGCAGGGAGCCCGATGCGGGCTCGATCCCAGGACCCCGGGATCATGACCTGAGCTGAAGGCAGATGCCCAACGACTGAGCCACCCAGGCACCCCTTCCTTTTAAAATACAAGTCAGATCCTGTCATTTTGTGTTCAAAACCCTACTGTGGTCCCCCATTTCATGCAGAATAAAAGCTACTCTCCCCATCACTCCCTGTGCTCTGGCCACCTGGCCTCTTAACTGTTCCTTGAACAGGAAAATAGCAGACATGCTCCTTGTAAGGCCTTTACTCTGGGTGTTCTCTCAGCCCCAAATGGCCTGGAATTGATCTGGAATACTCCCTCCTGGCTACTTAACTGACCCTCTCCCCTCCTTCCTGTATTCAGATTTCTCCTCCACAGTGAGGCTTTCCCCAACCACCCTATTTAAACTGCAGCCTCTTTGCCCTTGTTTATTGCTGTTTCCCCTGATAAAATGTGAGGTAGGCAAGGCTGAGCATCTTTGCTTGTTTCATTCATTGTTGCTCCAGTGCCTGGAATAGGACCTGGTACAATTGTAGGTGTTCAGTAAGTATGGATTGAATGAAAGAACTAGAGTCCAGTTTTTTTTGTGATAATCATTTCCTTGCTTTTCTTGGTAGTTTTCCCACCTATGTATCCATTCTAAATAATAGAATTTAGATTTGTTTGTTTTAACTCTATGTAAATTGAATCATACTATATATCTACTTTTCATGGTCCATTTTCTTTTGCTCAACATTATGTTTTTGAGATTCATTCATGTTGTTGTGTGTGACTGCAATTCATTCATTTTCCCCTGCTGTCAAGTTTTTCCTTGTGTGAATGATATCACAACCCATCCAACCATTCAATCTTTGAAGGAAGTCTGGGCTCTGTCCAATTTTTGGACAATCTCACATGCATCTCCGGGCACATGTATGTATGAGATTCTCCTGGGTATATCTAGGAGTGGGGCTGCATGGTCTTCGTGTATGTCTTCAGTTTTATGAGATGATGTTAGATGGTTTCCAAAGTGACAGATCCATCTGCCCTCCTGCATCTGCCCATCTGTAGTCTGGTCACCCCTTTGGACCTCCATGTCCCCCGTATTTCCTTCATAAAATAAGAGGATTGGACTAAGGGATTTCTGAGGTCTCTTTTGAGACTGATGTTCTGTGA